AATACATAAAGAAAAGACTTTCCTGTTGAAGGTTTTGATTTTGAAACTTAACTGTAAAATATTGCAGGTGCTAATAGAAAAAGCTACAAGACTTAAAACATTAAATAAAACAAAATATATAAAAAAGAAAAAAAATTGTTGAGAAAGAGTTAACTAAAAATAAATACAACATAGTACTAAAAACAAATAACAACAATAAAGTAAACTTTAATTCAAAAAAATCTTTATAAACTATAGTTCACAACACAACATTCAATACAAATCAAAGTATCACACTATACAAACTAATCAATAATAGCAAAAAAGTGCAACAAACTATAAACTAAATAAGAGATCATAAATGTGACTAAGCAGACATCTTCACTCATCCTCTTCTTCTAATTCTTCTTTTTCTTCATTAAAGTTTTGCTACTGATAAGGGGTAAATATAGGGTGACTAAGAAACTGTATTGAGTGGTCACTTCTCATGTATCTAACCATAGCATCATCATACTCATACTTCTTTCTTGTTAAATCTTCATTACGCGCATTCCTGAGTAGAATGGTCGGTATGGGAATTGATCATTCAAATTTTCATCGATCCATACATTTTTCTTGAACATTTGTACCAAACCTACCTGCTTCAATTCATCCTGTATGATCAAATTGTTCCTTCATCCTCCAATCTAAGTGATAAAAAATATCAGAAATATTTATTATTGCATTCATGATGTTCGGAAGTTCACTTTTTACTTTCTTTATTTTCTTCTCCAAAACACATGAACTTCCAACTGTATAGGGCATTAAGGGTGTCGAAACATGTGATGATTGATGTGCTTCATTTCCATTCCCAATATAGTTTGCATCAATAGGATCTATGGGCTTCTAGGGTAATAAGACATTCTCACAACTTTCATATGGTACATGAGATTGACTACAAAGTAAGAGGATCGTAGAAGGATTCCCGAGTCCATATATAGGCACATGCATTTTCAAACCTAAAACAGATTTAACAATAACTGATCCCACATCAATAGGCTTTCCCATTTGAATACAATAGTTTAAAATATCACTTTCCTTTGTAACTTTACTAATTCTCATTGGAGGGAGTAATTTCACAGAGATAAGGAAATGTTATTGTTTAGATATCAGATTTAGCAGTGAAGCAGAGAAACTAATGTACCAATCATCTTTGATTTCCCAATTATCACCTCCATCCGTCAGAAATCGATACACATCATACATCCAATCCTTTGTTGGAATAAAGTTTGCATAGTGAAAAATTGGAACACTTTCTATCATAAACATATCATTAATTCATGATAGAGTAAATGGTACCCACTTATCTCGAACAAAGATGACTCCCTGGTTAATTTCTTAAAGATTTGCGTAGAATTATTTCACCACTAGAACAACTACTGCAGTGGTAGTGTAGCATAGATCTTCCCAACGTCTTTGTACTATGAGTTCCTAAATTTGCAAACTTGGGTTATTGAACCCACGATTGACAAAGCCTCTCTCCTTGATAAGTCTCTTCTTCATGATGACTTTCTCATATAATTTTTTTTCATCAAAACTGATGAACTTTCTTCGATTGAAAATCCCATACCTTGAAGATTTTTGGAATTGGAAGCCATGGATTTCAAAATCGTGAAGTCTCTAGTCATCCAAAAATAGTTTTCATGCATTTAAAAAGACTCTTAGGTGGTTATCTTGAAGAAAAATCCCACTAAAGTCTGCCAAAAACTCCCCAAACTGCAAAAATCGCACTAAGCGCTGTCGATGCCTCGTTTGCGCCGTCAGTGCAAGAGCCAAATTTTCGTCTATTTTATTTTTTATTTAATTGATTTTTAAATTTTTTTCCAATACCAACATTTGTCTTGATTTATGATATGTATGATTGTGTAGGATTCTAAGATATTATCAACTCCTAATACATTATAGCAATTATAAAAAAATACTAAACATAACGAAGATATATGTGCTGCCTCCCACAAAGCACTTGATTTAACGTTGTTAGCTCGACGTACCAATTTTTATTCAGGATGACTCAACATCAAGATCTCTTTAAATTGTAGCTTGTGCTTTTCATAATAATGTTTCAATCGATGCCTATTAACATTAAATATCTTTCCAGTTTTAGGATCCTCAATAACAACATCTCCACAATGATAGACTTTGATCACATTGAATGGTCCTAACCATCTAGACTTCAGTATTCTTGGAAATAATCTCAATCTAGTATTATATAATAGAACTTTTTGTCTAGGTTCAAATTTCTTTCTTATAATCTTCTAATCATGTCATATTTTCATTTTCTCTTGATAGATCTTTGTATTGTCATATGCTTCATTTCTAAGCTCTTCAAGCTCATTGAGTTGCAATAATGTTTTTTCACCAGCATCAATTAAATTAAAATTGAATTTGTTAATTCTACTGGTAAGTGACATGTTTTATCGAAATAGGTCTATTTGGGGACATTCCAATGGGAGTCTTATAAGCAGTTCTGTATGGTCGTAATGCAGTATCTAATCTAGCAGATCAATCTAATTTATCAAGATTTAAAACTTTTTTAAAAATTTGCTTTATTGCACGATATATATTTTTGCTGGACCGCTAATCTAGGGATGATAAAAAGTTGAGAATCTATGCAAGATATTATATTTTCTAATCAATTCTCAATCCTCTTATTCCTTAAATGGGATCCTCCATCAGTAATAATCACTCGTAACATTTCATATCTTGTAAAAATTTTTTTCTTTAAAAATTTTGAAATACTTAGAGCATCACATTTAGGTAAAACAATAGCTTCAATCCATTTGGATACATAATCAAGAACAAGCAAAATATATAGATTTCCGAATGAAGGCATAAATGGTCCCATAAAATCTCATCCCCACACATCAAAATTTCAACTTCCAATGTGTAATTCTGAGGCATTTAATTTTTTCTAGAAATATTTCCTACTAGCTAACACCAATCACATGTTTTAATATATTGATTAGCATCTCTAAAAAGAGTAGGCCAATACAATCTAGCATGCAAAAACTTATGTGTAGCTCTACTATTTCCCAAATGTCCTCCAAATTCAGAATCATGACATCATTGAATTATTTGTTCAATTTCTTCATAAGACACACATCTTCTAATGATCAAATCTTTAGACTGTTTATATAAACACGGGTCATCCCAAAAATATAATTTTGCATCATGAATAAATTTCTTTAATTGTTGATTCTTTATATCAGATGGTCGAATATCACTTACAATATAATTTACTATATCAGCATACCACAGCATATTCTTTCCATCAATATTATACAATTGTTCATCATGGAAAGTTACTAAAATTTCATTTACAAAATCAGTTAATATTTCTTATTCTAGTCTAGACAAATGATCAGCTATTCGTTTGTCAATTCCTTTTCTATCAACTACCACAAAATCAAACACTTGCAACCGAAGTATCCATCTAATTAATCTCAGTTTAACACTCTTCTATTGCATCAAATATTTGATAGCAGAATGGTCTGTATGCTCTATACATTTAGCTCTTAATTAAGTAAGGTTGAAACTTATCAAAGGAATAGATAATAGTTAATAACTCGCTTTCAGTAGTGGTGTAATTAATTTGAGCAACATTTAGAGTTTTACTAGCATAATATATTACTTTAGAAACCTTGTCATACCTTTGCCCTAAATCAACTCCAAGGGTATAATCACTAGCATCACACATTATTTCAATTTATTTCTCCCAATTAGGTGGAAAAATTATTGGAAAATTGATTTATTTTTTTTAACAGTTAAAATGTATATTAATAGAATGTCGAAATATGTGAAAGAAATCGAATTCCTTGCTCCGATCCTAAAATATCGTGAATGTGGAGAAGTATATGAATAGAATGTGAAAATATTTGAAAGGAATCGAAATCTTTGTTTTTATCCTAAAATATCGTGAATGTGGAGAAATATAAGAATAGAATGTGGAAATATGTGAAATGAATCAGAATTCCTGCACTGATCCTAAAATATCATGAATGTGGAGAGATATATGAATGGGATGTGAAAATATATGAAAGGAATTGGAATCCCTGAACCGATCCTAAAATATCATGAATGTGGAGATACATATAAATAAAATGTGGAAATATGTGAAATGAATCGGAATCCTTGCATCGATCCTAAAATATCGTGAATGTAAGAATTTGTTTCAAAATTGTGAAATATCGTGTAAGATTGTGTGAGGATGTACTATTTGTATGAATTTGTGAAGATGTGAAGCATTATGTGTAATCACATAAGAATTGTGTTTAAATGATGTATAGAACTTGTGGAATCTAAAAGTTTATGGAAATATGAAATTTGTAAAGTCTTGCAAAATTGTGAATGGAATGACTTTTAATTAAAAATTTGTAAAGTTTTGCAGAAACAATCAATTTGTGGTGAGGAAAAAAAATTCATTATTATTATTTTTGAAGTTTCATGATTTTGAGGAGTATTTGTTGTTTACTGTATTTGTTGTTTAATGTTAATTTATATATATATATATATATTGAGTGTTATTCATTAAAAATTTTATCTTACATATCGTTCTTATTTGTTAGCCTTTCTCAGAATTGAGATAAATCAAATTCATCTGTTTTCTCAATCAATTGCCCAAATTTGCATTCACAACTGCGAAAAGAAATTTCAATATATCTTCTTTAAATTGTACTGTAATCTGGTACTTGATACAATTCTGCTTGATTCCATTTAAGAGGACATGATCAAAACATATTTTGGAATCATATGAAAATGATCCATATATCTAAGTGCTCTTCCATACATCAACACTAAATACATACGATTGAATTCAATTTGTATATCATCTAACTGACGATCCACTGTCGGTATCCATGTCAAAATAGTAAGTTGTATAAAGACTAGCCTCTCCTTCTAACATATTATTGGAAAAATAGAAACAAATTCTTTTAAATATATATTGAGGTGTGTTGTTTCTAAACAACTTATAGCTCAAAAGGCTATAAATTCTCTATCTCAAGATCAAGCCTAAAACGGAATGGCATATTGTCCTCATTCACCCTCCTGAGAGTTATAGAAACTCTTGGATATAGTACTCCAGGGATGCAGTGTTTAGCTACATCAGCGTTGTTCCCTTGCAGAACCAAAACCGAGCCCACAGGCAAAGGGATCTCCACAAAACCTTGAAATTCTCCGTCGTCAACAATTTGAATTTCTGTCCCGAACATAATGTTACACTTGTTGATAAATGAGACCGTGCATAATGGTCTTGCAAAATCATGTTGATCAACATGCGGAGGAATACAATCACTAGCCTCGTAGATATTAATTATGCAGCTACTAGGAATACAATCTGCTGGTAAGATACACCAAGTCACCAATCGTATGATTATCCTTTTTATGAATGATGGTAAAGGGTCAACTTCATCATGACAAAATATTCCAGGCGGATTTCCTACTTTGTCCTGAGCAAAATTGTAGCAGCAACCATGCTGTATTGTAACCTTTCTCTTACGGCGTTTCCACTTCCTAGGCTCGGAATATATTCTTCTGCTTAACCGACCAGCATGCCCCATGTCTTTTTCCAAAAATACATGCTCTACAATGTCATCCTGCTCACTGCCAGTGAATACATTGGTGTGCAATTCTAATCCTTCAAGTATATTAACATACTTTCCTTGAACCATCTAAAAATGGTTGAAATTCTATCTTCTTACTTTCTGATATTTTTCAGCTCATGTTCCCGAATAATTTTTTTCAAGGTTGTGATCTATTTACAAATTGAGGAATGTAATGCTCAACCTCCATAGATCATTCTTCAATCCTTTCTTTCTTAGAAATCACCTTTTTTCAGCCTTCACGGGTTGAGATTGCACTTTAACTGGCCAATCAGAAGCTTTCTCTTTTAATTTGATTGTCATTTGTGCAATAACATCTTCATCTTCCCATTGTTCTTTTAATCGCTCCAACATCTTATGGATGAGGCAATTTCAGTTTTTTTTTTGTGTGCGAGTGAGTGTTGCTTTACCTTCCAGCTGATCATTGGTAGGGGTAGCACCAACAAGCTTGCCCTTTGAAGTCATTACCATCGACTTCATCCGATTAATCACAGTGTTACTTGATTCTGCCTCATCAAATTTTTCTCATTTTCTTTTCTTCTCAGCGATGAATTGATTCTTACTCTTGAATTTTAACACAAGCTTTTTCTCACAAAATTCTTCTTTATTAACCACGGTTATAGTCAAACTTTCATAATCCAGCTCTATTTGGTAAAAGTTGAGATCGAATTCGATCACTGCCCCTTTTTCAGACTTTTCCTTGTTAAGGGAAAAACCCATGTCATTCTTGAAGTTAAAGATCATCATTCCTCCTAACATTTCCCTCCACTAAAATAGAAAAAAAATCAGTATGTTAGACTGGTCTTAAGCAAGAACAATATGAATTCATTAATAATATATATATATATGTATATATATA